TCTAATTTAGAAGCCAATCCACATATAAACAAAACAAACAACCCCCCCCCCCCCCCCCCCACACAAAACATCAGCAACCACAGAATACAAAATTGATGCTAATTTCAATGATTCTCTAATTCAGCGGTTCTCAACCTGTGGGTCGAGACCCTTTGGGGGTCGAACGACCCTTTCACGGGGTTGCCTAAGACCATCAGAAAACACATATATAATTACATATTGTTTTTGTGATTAATCACTATTTAATTATGTTCAATTTGTAACAATGAAATTGGGGGTCACCACAACATGAGGAACTGTATTAAAGGGTCTCGGCATTAGGAAGGTTGAGAACCACTGCTCTAATTATACTCATTTTTGGTTCTTTTCTTTTAATATTGAGTTTTATATTTCTTTGTATGTAACAAAATCACCTTGAAAGTAGTAATTTATAATTTTTTCAAGGAAAACCTCTTCCATTTCATAATTGTGAGGTGGTCTTCCAGTTACTTGACAGTTTTTGTTAAGCATCAAGTCTAATGTATTTAACTCTTATCGATAAAGCTAAAATATAATAATTTGCTTCTTTAAAAAAAAGTCCTCTTGATTTATTTCATTTGTTCATTGGTTCATTATTTGACAAATATATATTGAATGTGTATTATGTGGATCCAAGGCTTTATTAAGACCTTTAAGGAGCTTAAGCCCTAAAAGTATTATGGTAAGTAAGCCTTAGAGGAAATGTAAAGTAAATGTAATAATACACCATTTAAAAAGTGCTAGGGAACCTCAACGTGATGATTTCCATGTTTAATACCTTGACACGTTTCTGGAGTGCATGAGGGAAGGGAAATATAAACTATCCCCAAATTCCCTTCTGATGCCTCTACGTGGTGAGATTAGACACCCATCCTGCAATCTTGCATTGGCGCAGAGCACTGTGAAAGGTACAAAAGTGAGTCAGCCAGAAGCTGCCCTCAACCGGCTTACAGTCAAGTAGTGTTAGGAGCAGCAGGCAGACATTCATTAGTGGGATGTGGCTTTACATTGGACAAGTGTGAAACAAGAAGCTCTATTCTCACAGACCAGGGAGGGCAGGATCTGCAGCCAATGGCATCTAAACCACAGGAAAGGAATTTGCATGCCAAGCGTTGTCAGCAGGGGTGGCTGCCCAGCGTTCTGAAGGGAGTTCCCTCACGATGGAGCTGCCAGGCCCAGCGTGCCTCCTGTGGCACTCAGGCAGTGCCTCTCAGGACACGGGAGGTCAGCCACGGCGTCCTTAGGGAATGCACAGTGAAGAAAGAGTTACCAGAAATCACATGCTTTGGGGATGGACAACAGGGCTGTTTTCTAGACTCAGGAGCCTTGGGAAATAGGTGTCTCCTGGCCCTGAGGGGCCCAGCCTTCAGCTCCATCAAGGCAGCATTGTCCCGGGCCTTGGGTTCTTCTGTTGCCTAACCCAGGCATGGCGACATGTTTGACTGTGTGGCAACGAAAACCAATTAAATGGTGAGACATTTGCCCACCGCCTTTTCCTAAGGCGAAAGGAGATGCTGGTCCTAAATGTGTCTGAAATCTTCAGTGGGGATCGCCGGGTAAATGGCAATGATCTTGTTAAATTCAGTTTGTAGATTTTACTAAACAGGCGAGCAGAAAAAAAAATTTCTACTGGAATACTAATATCTATAATATACATCATTGTAATATGTGCTCAAGAAAGCAAGGGAATCCCCTGTTTCGCTTGTCTTCTGTTTAGTCTGTAGTAGTTTGCTAGCTCTTCCCTTGTGCTATGCATCAGTAATCATAGTTATGGGGACTTAAGATGCCCAGTTCAAACAAGTTGATGAACTATGTAATAAAGCATATGCAGGGGTGGGCAGAAGTAGGCTTACAGCTGTGATACAAATAAATAATACAATAATGAATAAATAATAATTCAAGAATAAGCTGTTTCACGTACTCACAACTGCAAACTTACTTTTGCCCACCCCTCTATTATTTTTTTTGTGTATTTTCATGTGAGTGCTGAGAAATACTCAGATAAATGCCTGCTTAAATACTAAATACTTTCAGTTAAGTTGAAAGAGTGGAATTAGTTTATCAGGTGGTTGCAGGTTTTTGGGTTTTTTTAGAGGAAATATTAACCATGGAAAGCGAAGAAGCTAGGCTAGTGTGATGTACCGAAGAAACGGGATCATTCTTGGCACTAAAGAATGGTTTATTTGCGTTCATTGCTGCAGAAGTTGGCCTTTATAGAAGAAGACACCTTGAAAGTGTACTGATTGAACCTGGCAAAGTTAAAAGTAATCATTTAGAAATCATTAGAACTATAAAAATTCTACTGGTTCTAGTTTGCTTTCCCACAGTGACAATGCCATACCTCATACCATTGTCACAACCTTCTTAGAGACTTCTTATATTGGTGCATAGGTAACATTGTTCTCTGGCCTAGAATACCCCTCCACACACTGATATCATGGAAACAAAAAGGAAAGAAAAATAAATGCAGAATCAATAACATTTATTTGGCTCGCTGTGTTATAACAGGTGTAAGCTATTGTCTGCCCCAGAGACTTGTCTAAATAATGGAATCACCCTGTGGCAATGTTGGTTACTGTAAGAGCAGGTTGGTTCTTCATTTTCATTCTCCAGAGCTAACCCCCTAACTTCAACAAGGTCTATCCCTTCCGGTGTATTGAGCAGACTGCACGCATGCTTGCAAACAGATGGCTGCTCTCACATGGACTTGCATTCAAAGATACCACCAGTCCAAATGTCTTAAGGGCTTTCAGAATCATCCAACTAGGCTCCCTATGGCAGGCTTTCACTTATCAATTTTGAGCAGAGGAAGGTGTAAAGACTTTACATAATTTCCTTCCTCCCTCCCTCCCTC